CATCAGCTGTTTCTCAGGAGAAGGTTGGGTAGTCTACTTCTGTACCATTAATTGCCTCTGAAAACCCATTAGAGGGTCAGCCACAGATCAGTTCCAACTCGATGATACATAGCACAACACAACTGCCCTTCTGTGACTGGCTTATGTCACTCAGCGTAGGGTTCAGATTGTGAGTCATAGTCAATTCACAGCTCCTAACAGCAACAACAGGTTTTTGGAAGTAGATTGTCAGGTTTTTCTTCCAGGGTGCTCTGAGTGGACTTGAACATCCTGCATTTCATTTGGCAGGCAAGCTCTTAACTCTTTATAGTGCCCAAGCACTCTGGATTCTCTGTTGTTGTTAGGTGCCGTAGACTCTACTACTACTCAAGGTGAAACTTTGAACAACAGATCAGAACCTTGCCCCGTCCGCCTTGCTCAAGGCTTTTCTTACAATTACTGTGTCAGTACATCTCATTAAGGCTCATCCTCTCTTTCCCTTACCCTCTTACTTTCCAAGCATGATGTCTTTGTCCAAGAACTGAGGCCGCCTGATAACATGTAAGACGAAGTTTCATCCTCCTTGCCTCTTAATAGCACCCTAGTTGCATTTCCTCCAGGACAGATTTGTTTGTTCTTTTTATAGTCCATGATATATTCAGTGCTCTTCACCAGAACCACAGCAGAAAGGCATCTGTTCATCTTTGATCATCCTTGTTCATTGTCCAACTTTCGCATGCATAAGAAGCAATTAAAAAGACCCTGTGACCTGGATCAGGTGCACCTTAGTCTTTGAGTTGACATCATTACTCTTTAACCCTTTGGAGAGGTCCTTGACTGGAGATTTTTCCAACTCATCATTTGACTTCTTGACTGTTACAACTGTGGAGTAGAGGTCTGTTGGCTTAGTGGGTAGGAGTTGCACTGCCATCCTAAAGGCATGCGGTCTTACTCCCCACCTGCTCCTCAGGAGAAAGATGGACAGTCTTCTTCAGTGTAATTTGCTGCCTCTGAAAACCTGCTGGAGGATCAGCTGTCAGTCAGTTCCAACTTTATGGTACACAACAACAGTTACCATGGATCTGAGTAAAATTAAATCATTGCCAATCATTGGCATGTTCAGTTTTTTTCTCCCCGTCTGTTATAGTGTTGCCTACTGGTCCAGTTCAACTCATCTGGTCTTTGATCATTGGTGTTCAATGACTACAACCTATTCCTAAGAGGATCTTGAAATTCAGATGAAATAGATTCAAGAATAACAACAACATTGGTCCAGTGTTGATAATTTTTGTTTTCTTGATGTTGAAATGCAATTCATATTCCATAATATGGATCGACTCAGTAATCCATAGTCTGTAATCTATGAGCTCTTGCAGGAAGTGGATTCTCTATGTAACTGTGGTTAGGCACCCTTGTTGTTACTGTGTACCATTGAGTTGGGACCGACTTAAAATTTACTCATAGTGACACTGTGAACAACAGGTCTGAACCCTGTCCTATCATGTGCCATCCTCATCATCTCTTTCTATTTGAGCCCATTAATTGCTACAGCTACTGTCAGTCCAATTCATTGAAAGTCTTCCTCTCTTTTGCTGACCCTCCAACTTTCCAACCATGGAAAGTTGTCTCTTCTAGCAACGTGTCCAAAGTGTGTCAGACAAAAGAATTGTCCAAAGAATTGTCTCTTCTAGCAATGTGTCCAAAGTGTGTCAGACAAAACTGGCCCATTCTTGTTTCAAATGAGCATTCTAGCTGTACTTTTTCTAAGACATATTTGAGTGTTCTTTTAGCATTCCATAGAATATTCAGTACTCTCCTCCAGCACAACTAAAAGGCATCAGTAATTCTTCTGTCATCTTTATTTATTGTCCAGCTCTCAGATGCATAGCAGGTGAATGAGACAACTATGGCTTGAATCAGGCACACTTTAAACTGGCATCACTGCTCTTCATATTTCAGTGAGGTCCCTGACAGCACACTTGTCCTTTGCAATACATCTCCTGATCTCCTGACTGCTGGTACCAAGGGTATTGATTGTTGATTCAAGTAAGATGAAACTGTTGACATCTTCAGTTTCTTTTTCATCTATCATGATGCTGCTTATTGGTCTCCAGTGGTTAGGATCTTTGTCGTCTCTATGCGGAGATGTAATCCATATTGAAGGCTATGGTCCTTGATTTTCTGCAGGAAGCACTGTGGGTCCTTTCAACAAGCAAGGTTGTATCATCTGCATAATGTAGGTTGTTGATGAGCCTTCCACCAGTCCTGATGCCACATTCTTCAGAATCTCTGCTTCTTGAATGATCTGTTCAGCATGCAAAAATAGATTAAGGATATAACCCTGAACACACACCTCTCTTGATTTTAAATTGTGCAGTGTTCTCTTGCTCTGTTCAGACAACAGCTTCTTGGTCTAGTTTTAGGTTTCGCATAAGCACAACTAAGTGTTCTAGAATTCCCATTCTTCTCAGTTTTAGCCATAGCTTATGATTCTATAGTTAAATGCCTTTGCATAGTTAATAAAGAAAGCACAAATAGACATTCTTCTGGTATTCTCTACTTTCAGCCAATATCCATCTTACATCTACAGATCTACATCTATCCCTAATGTCATGGCCTCTTCTAAACTAAGCTTGGACTTCTCGCAGTTCTCTTTCAATATATTGCCCTAGCCATTTTTGGATGACCTTCAACAATATTTTTCTTGCATGTCCAATAATTCTCATTTGGATCTATTTTCTTAGATATGGGAATTAATACAGGTCTCTTCTCATCAATTGGCCAGTCTTACAAATGTTCTGGCATTCACTGGTGAGCCCATCCACAGCTGCATCTGTGAAACGTGTCAGCTGGTGTCCTATCAATTTCTGGGACCTTATCTTTCTGTTAATGCCTTCAGTGCTGATTGAACTTCTTCCTCCTCATCATCAGTTCTTTATCATATACTACTTCTTGAAATAATTCCATGTTAACCAATTTTTTTTTTACACTGTGTATTTCCTCCATCTTATTTTGATGTTGCCTGGATCATTTAGAATAAAAAAATGAAATGAAGGACTTTATTTATTTAGTCAAACCTAACAGCTTCCTGTAGATCTTAAGGAAGTCCTAGATACTCCTTAGTGAGTAGCTGTTATCAGCTGTGCACCAACTTTCCTTACAAATGTGGGACAGAATGTCTTTTGCTTCTTGTATTGGAAACAAACAGTGAATCTCTCTTGCTTCAGGGCTTCACAGTCTTCCCCATTGTCAGGGACAACTTTGTTTCTTCAGTCAGACCTGACAACTTCCTGCAGCTTTTAGGGAAGTCCATCCTTCATTTACTTTTTTTTTTTTTTAAATTTAGGTTGTTTACTTTTCATTTCAATGAACATCTACAGAGATTTTGTAATTCCATTCATTCATTGTTGCACCCTTGGCCCTGCACAAACCCCTCCCCTCTCCCTCTCCCCCCCCCTTTGCTCCTCTCCTTGAAAAGCAAAAGAAAAACTCCCTCATTGGTACACAATCCCCCCCCCGCACCTCCCCAAACCCCACGCCCTACCCCCAAATATAATCCACTCTGCAACCCTCATTGCATACTCCTACGATAAAAATAATGCCCTAAAATATAATACTTTTAGACTATTCTCTCCCCCATAGACTTCAATGCCGTATTTACACTTTTCTGAAGCCCAGTGGTTTACTCTCCATGTCCTTAGGTGACCTGCATTCGATCCTCTTTCCTGGAACCTGGGAAAGAAAGATTATGTTCATACTCAAGAGTTTTTCTCCTCCTAAAGTGAAGTAGGTTCTCTCATGTCCTTTGGACAGGGGCCAGGTGAGGCCAGGCCCTGAGGAAGAACAGCGTGCTGGGGGGAAAAATAGAAGGCTGTTGAAAGAGAAGATGACTCTCAGTGAAATGGTGTGACGGACATAGTACCTGCCAGGTGGGCTTTAAACACAGCAGAGACTGTGAGGGTGGAGCAGGATCAGAGTTTCTCACTCTGTAGCTCTGAGGCCAAGATAGCCTGAGGGCACCTGAGAACTAACAGCAAGCAAGGGAGTACCATTTTACTCTTATCTTGCCATTTACATTTATCCTGGCTTGAGAAAGCCCCATCTTAACCTTTTCCACCAGTGAATTACTTCATTGGTCACAGCCTATAGACTCAGCCCGCTGCAAACCCTGGCAATGGTTTGGGATGGTACCTGAAGGAAGGGTTTCTTGAGAAAGTATGGTACTTTCACACAGTGGAATACTATGCAGCACGCAGGAGCAATAACTTTGTAAATTATTACCTAACTTGGGAGGGACTGGAGAGCACTGTGCGGAATGAACTAACTCAGTCCCACAAGGATAAATATTGTATAAGACCATTACTGTAGAGTGAGTATAAGGATCCAGGAGGGGTGGAAGAAGCTGGACGCAGAGGGATGTGGATGTACAGAGGGAAGAGGAGATTAATCATTGGTTTGAGGGAAATTGGAAGAATTTTTCGAATTTGTATTAGAATTTTGTAAATATAATGATAAAAAAAGCTTGGAGAGGGGGAAGGAAAGGAGAGGGGGTAATATGTGCAACAATAAATGAATGAAAATCTAACTTTTCTATAAACTTTTATTAAAATTACAATTAAAATAAAAAATTTTATAAAAAAAAAATAAATGTGTTCCAGGTAGTAGAATATAAGAAAGAAAACTTAAACCAAGCTTATAAGTAGAAACACAAAGTAATCTCAACATATAGGTATAGCTCATGAGAGTAGAAGAGACAGCACTCGCTGTGTGTTTGGAGCATTTGAAGAAGCAGAAGTGTATATGCAAGTCCCTGCTCTGAGCCCCAGGAGCAGCCCATTGCTTAGGCAGCAAATCTCCTTTGTCCAAAGCAATGGTGTGCCACCCTTTGTGCTCGGGAAGTTATGTTATAATAATAGAGTAAGTCGATAGTTCTGTCCTTCTATTAAGTAACTCAATAATAGTCTAATCCTTGAGCTGCGTTTTTGCAGAGTTGACTAACAGGATTCATCTTATCTCTCTAGTCTATGTAATAGGGAAAAATCTACTGATGCAAGCCCGGTGGTTCCATATCCTGGGAATGATGATGTTTGTCTGGTCCTCAGCCCATCAGTATAAGTGCCATGTCATTCTCAGCAATCTCAGGAGGAACAAAGCAGGTGAGTTACGTTCTGGAGCCACTGCGTGTGGGCTGGGCTTTAAGACCCCAAAGTTCATTGTCTGCTCCTTCATTCTTTTCTTTCTTTCCTCAGTGGTTGTTGTTATGTACTTTCAAGTCAACTAGGAATCTTAGCAACCCTGTGAACAACAGAGGGGATCAGTTGCCCTGCCCTGCCCATCCTCAGCATCTCCACCAGCACCAGCCCATTGTCGCCAGCAACATGTCCCTCAGTCTCCTTGAGGGTCTTCTCTTTCACTGACCCTCTGCTTTTCCTACCATTACCTTTATTGTTGTTTTTGTTGTTGTTGATTGTCTTCAAGTTGAACACGACTGATAGCAACCCAATGAACGAAAGGCTTGAAAGCCCCTGTACAAATACCAACATTTATCAAAGTTCATAGGGTTTCTGGAGGCAAGTTATTTAGGAAGTGGATGCCACCCCTGTTTTCTTTATTAGTTGTCTTGTTTCATCAAATATTTGGTGTTTTTTGTCAAGACACCTCTCTGGGCCTTGATCTTCCTATCTCTTTAATGCCATGTAGTCTTGACAATCTGTGATTCTGTTCTAGAATGAAAAAGACACACCCCCTTCGAACATTCTAGATATCCACTGCCACGCAAAGTCATGGCCGTGGAGTCATAGCTGAACCCTCCAGTGCATTTTCAGAGGCTGTAAATGGTACATTCTCCTTTGCAGCAGCTGATGGATTCGAACCACCTATCTTTGGATTGGCAGCACAACTCCTTACCTACTAGACCACCAGAGCTCCACATGTTCTGTATGGAGAACATTTTGTTAAGACGTAAAGAGGACACAGACAAACCATTCCTGACTGAGGGAAGATAGGAGCATGATGCTAAACACTGAATCACAGCCATGTTTATAATTGATGGAATGGAAAATCATTGTAATTGATGGCAGTTACAATCCATCACTGTTGCAGGAGGAAATAGAGAAACATACAAAAGACCATAAACAACCACAGATTAAAACCTTTAAAGGATTGATTCTGGGGCATCATGCAGATGGCTACATGGGGTGGTCATTGGGCCATAGCCCATGGGTGAGTGATTCTTTTTGGTAAATCCTTAAGGACACACCCAGACAAGTTTCCTGGCTTGAATTGCTCCTCCCTGGCCTTGCCTAGCAAGTATAGTCTCCTCTCCACTGTGTTCCTCCTAAGGGCAGACTGTGTTTCCTTGAGCTCCGCAGACTGAGCATAGCCACGGGGTGGGTTGAATGGTCAGAAACATAACAGCATCTGAACATGTGCCAGAATCAACTGTGGTTAAGCCTCCACTGTAGACGTCTCCCTTCCAGGACCAACGTAAGGTCCCATCCAGTCTTATCCTGTGCTGTGCCCTTGTGTTAGGACGTGCACACATAGGTGTATCTGAGCATCTGTGAAGTCAGACCCACCCTTCCACATGAAGCAGGAAAAGGCTGACTGTTTAGTTCACGTGCACTGATTTATTACAGGTTCACTCTTTTCACAAGGCTTTTTGAAATTGCAAACATCAAATCATAATAGTTAGCATCTAGCTGCTCATTTTATGCCAGGCCATGTTCTGAATGCTCTCTATATAGCTTCACAATGGCCACATGAGATGGGTACAGTCAGATGATAAAATTGAGGCCTAGAGAGATTAAGTAATTTATCTAAAATTACATAAATAGTAAGTCAGGATTTGAACCCATGCAGTCCGACTCCAGAGCCTGGGTTCTTATTTGTTGTTGATGTTATGTGCTATCAATTTGCCTGTGACCCATAGTGACCCTATGTATAGCAGCTCTGAAGGCTACCCTGTCCTGAGCCAGTCTCACTGATTCCAACACACCAACCCCCATTGCCTCGGGTATTGTATCAAGCCATCTCATCCAGGTTATTCCTCTCCTGTGCTCTTCCTCCACCCTTCTGAGCATGATGTCCTCCTTCAACGACTGGTCCCTCCTGGATACATGCCCAAAGTCTGTGAGATGGAGCTTCAAATTCCTAGCCTAATTAGAAACTTGGTTTCACCCTCTCAAAGACAGACCTATTGGTTTTTTTGGTAGGCCATGATGTGTTCAAGACTCTTCTCCAGCACCACAACTCAAGGGCATCAATTCTTCTTCTGTCATCTTTAGTCATTGTCCACCTCTCTGATGTATAGCAAGTAATTGCAAAGACCATTACAAGTTATAAATGTTACAAGATAAATAGACTTTCCTTTTTGTATGTCTGACCCTGACCTTGGTATTTTCAGTTGCTTCAAATGCATGTGAAAGTTGGACAGTGAATAATGAAGACCAAAAATAAATTGATGCCTTTGAATCTTGTTGGCAAAATATATTAACTATACCATGGATTGCTAAAAGAACAAATTAATGTGTCTTAGAGTAAGTCATAATAATATAAGGATAGTGATAATGCTTCTTAGGAGGGAAGGTCTGACTTTGTCTCACATACTTTGGGCTTGTTAATCAGGTGAGGCCAGTCTATAGAAAAGTAAAAGGTCATCGAAGGAGAAGACACTCAGCACCATAAATTGACAGAGTGACTGCAGTGATGGCCTTAAAACACAGTGAAGATTGCCGAAATGGCTGGGCTTTGTTCTCTTGTACGTAGGTTCTCTATGAGTCCACTCAAGGCCTCGAACAACGACACTGTGTCTGAAGCATGTGACTTTTAGTGTTTAGAAGCTGGCCTTGGACGTATGAGATGGGTGGCAGTTTACATATGTGGAACTCTTCTAAATAAGAGTTTTTATAAATGACTTGGAAAGTCAAGTGGTAAAACTTTTCCAATTCCTTCAAATAAAGTTTTTCTTTCTCCGTTTCAGGAGTGGTCATTCACTGTAATCACAGGATCCCCTTTGGAGACTGGTTTGAATACGTTTCTTCGCCTAACTATTTAGCAGAGCTGATGATCTATGTCTCCATGGGCGTCACCTTTGGGTTCTACAATACAACGTGGTGGCTGGTGGTAACATACGTCTTCTTCAACCAGGCCCTGGCCGCTGTCCTCAACCACAGCTTCTACAAAAGCAAATTTGTCTCCTATCCAAAGCATAGGAAAGCTTTCCTGCCATTTTTGTTTTAAAATAAGCTAAGCCATGAAGAAGGCAAAGTAGGTGACAGATTTCATTCCTAAAGACATTGAGAGACCAAAGTGCAGTTTAGGCAAAACTGATTGAAACCGTCTGTTCTACTTTTATACCCAGGAGTCTTCCCTGAGTGAAGAAAGCAACGTCCCTTGAGAAGATGGATCTTCACAGAAGAAATATTTTGACTCACCTGGGATTACTGTATCTTCTTATAGAGATAATTTATATAAGAGAACCCACCCAAGACTCCACTACGCTACTTCAAAATCAGAGTAACTTAAGTTAGCATCATCAGACTACACATACACAATGAGGAGGTTTTAGTAACCCAGGCTGTGATAAATCCAGGGATAAATGAACTGGATTATATAATAAGCAATTTAGTAGGTGCTCAATAAATAATTGCTTCATTTCAGTTAAAACAGTCTTTAAAAACAATGACAGTGTCTTATTTTACACTGATAATTTCAGGGAAAATGATTTTGTTGATTAGTTTATATTGCCGCTTCAGTACATAAAAATCTCATATAGACATATAAAATCATCATAGTCATTTTGACGTTTATCCCTCTCAAATCACACCCTAGCAAAGTTTGGGAACCTCTTTTTGTTTGATACATCTTAGACATGCCTTTCAAGGGAGTACCACCATTAGAAGTAAAAACATCTAAAATTAAAAAGTTATTTATATTTATGCCTAAAAAGCCATTGTGAATGGACTGAATAGTGTTGGTGATTCAAACTGGAAGAATGTCTGCCTCAGTTTATTCTAATACATAGGATGAATCTAAAGGTATTTGGGAATAAAATAGACCCTTCAAAATAATTTATAGTACAGCAAATTCAAGGCATGTCCCATGATTAAATCAGAGAGAAACAAATGCATGGTGTGAGAGAAAACTAACAAAAACTGGAAAAAATATGCTATCGCCCGAGCAACGCAGCAAAAACCACACATTCATGTAACATGGAATTTGCCTGGCTTATTGGCTGAGATACTTTGTGCTTTTTATGCAGCTGTTACATTATAGTCTACTAAGTACTAAAGCTTTACACTAATTAGTACTGTAGTGCAGAAGAAAAAGAAGTCCCTGGATGGTGCAAATGCTAACAGAGTGAAGGTTCAAGTGACCAAGAGTGAGATGCCGCAGAAGAAAGGTCTGGAGATTGGCTTTCAAAAAAATCAGCTCCTGAAAATGCCTTGGGAAGCAGTTTTACTCTGAGACACTCAGAGTTGTCAAGGAGTTGGTTCACCAGCAACTAATCAACTAGTATAGCGGAAGGAACCTTCTTAGTGACCAGACACATATCATGGACATGTACAAAGATTGCCCGTCAACACACACATCTTCAGGGTAGTAAATCAATGTAGTGAACACCAGGTTCTTTTAAATGTAAGAACAATGAAGCCTGTGAAAGGCAGAAACTGTACAGCAAAACCCATCAAAAAGAAAAATGTAAATATTTTTCACTAACTAGAAAAAGGCAGAAACTTTGATATAGCCAATAAAACAAGGACTGATCTGTCACGTTCTTGCTCTCAGGTGTCACTGTAAATGCAAGTCAGAGCACATTCTAAAGCTACTACAAATTCCGATTCAAATCAGACACATCCTAATTAACATTAACCTCTTAGTCACCAACCCAAACAATTGCTGTATTTCTTTAGGATCCATCCCCCTCAGGACCAGAACTCAGGAACAGAAATGTAAAGCTTACGGCACTTTGGTCTTAATTGCCATTCAAATGAAATAAACAATACTATGCATTTTGCTTGCTGTAAGTGAAGAGGGCTTGAAACCCTTAACTGCAGATTATCAATACTACAGCCTTCAGGATGGATCGCATCTCAATGCCAAGAAAAAGATTCTTACCACTGGACCAATAGGCAACATGATAATAGACGGAGAAAAAGATTGAAACTGTGACTTCAGCTTACTTGGCACCAGCAGTCAGGAGACGTATTGCACTTTGAAAGTCTGCAGTCAGGGACCTTCCCAAATTACTGAGGAGCAATGATGTTAGTTTGAGGCCTAAAGTGCACTTGATTCACAGACCATGGTCTTTTCACTCACTTTCTATGCTGCTGAGAGCTGGACAGTGAATAAAGATGATGGAAGAAAATCAATGCCTTTGAATTGTGGTATTGGAGAACAGCACAGAATATTCCATGGACTGCCAAAAAAGCAAACAGATAGGTCTTGGTTTAGGTGCAGCCAGAATGCTCCTTGGAGGCAAAGATGATGAGGCTTCATCTCACATACTTTGAGCAGGTTGCTAGGAGAGGCTGTTCCTTGGAGAAGGACATCAAGCTTGGAAATGTGGAGAGTCAGGGAAGAGAGGAAAGAGATGGATTGACCACAACGGACTCGAATATGTCAGATTGTGAGGTGGACATAGGATAGGACAGGGTTCAGATCTGTTGTTCAGAGGGTCACTATGAGTCTTACTTGACTTACTGGCATCTGACAACAATGTACTTTATTTGGGCAGAATGATAGTTTGCTTAAGCATGCCGTTTTACATGTAGATTAGACCAGGGATTTGGCTGATGTTCGGAGTTTCAGCATGTTTCTAAATAAAATGCTATCCTTTGTAAAAAGCATTATCAGGTGCTGTGAGGAAGCCTTCAATTCTCCCAAATTCTTGCTGTCTTTGCTGTTGTTTCCTCTGCTTTCTCATGCTTTCCCTTCCCCTTCTCTGTCTAAACACTACAGTTCCAGGTGAAGATAAAAGAAGTTGTGATGTCATCGAAAAGGTTGAAAACAGTCATTATGGGGCCTTGGCAAAAGCTAACTTTGGAGAATTGAAGGAATTGCCATGTGTGTTACAGTATCAGAGTTGCCACTGTTTTCTGTTTTAATGAAAGTATTCTATGTTGCATTTGCAGATTCTTCATGTGGCTAATACAGAAATAACTTGAGGATGGAGATTCTTGAACTTTCCTTGATCTAGTTTAAATATTTGTAATTTTTCACTCTCTGTAGCTATGCAGATAGAGGAATTAATATTGAACTACCTCATAACACTGTTGCTGGATTAACTAGTGATTGTATAAATCTTCAAACTAAGCTCCTTTTTTAACCTGTATGCTAACACTTGCTTACAGTGGGCGTAGGCAATTTTGTCTCTGCAAAGCTGTATTCTGTATTACTTGTAATGTAATTAGTGGCTGTTGCAGGAATTCTAACCAAAAAAAAAAGCCTTTGCAGATATCTTTATATGAAGTTTAATACTCAGTTTAAGAAACACTGTAAGCATTTGCATAAGAGTACTTGAAATATCAAGAATCATTGAAAAATATTCAGTCTATCAATAAATGAATATATTAAAGAAGACTTTAAAATAGTCAATCTGCAAGTAGATTTCTTTTTCTTTCTTTC